TCCTAGCAGCTATTTGACCATGAAGGCCTGATTAACGCAGTCTCCTCTTAACAGTTGTTCTAGAGATGGGTCTGCTGCTAGAACTCTGTGTGGCATTCATCTGGTCTCTGATTTGAGCTGCTGTTAACTTGCGATTTCTGAGGCTGGTGACTCGGATGAACTTATCCTCAGAAGCAGAGGTGACTCTTGGTCTTCCTTTCCTGGGTCGGTCCTCATGTGTGCCAGTTTGGTTGTAGCGCTTGATGGTTTTTGCGACTCCACTTGGGGACACATTTAAAGTTTTTGCAATTTTCCGGACTGACTGACCTTCATTTCTTAAAGTAATGATGGCCACTCGTTTTTCTTTAGTTAGCTAATTGGTTCTTGCCATAATATGAATTTTAACAGTTGTCCAATAGGGCTGTCGGCTGTGTATTAACCTGACTTCTGCACAACACAACTGATGGTCCCAACCCCATTGATAAAGCAAGAAATTCCACTAATTAACCCTGATAAGGCACACCTGTGAAGTGGAAACCATTTCAGGTGACTACCTCTTGAAGCTCATGGAGAGAATGCCAAGAGTGTGCAAAGCAGTAATCAGAGCAAAGGGTGGCTATTTTGAAGAAACTAGAATATAAAACATGTTTTCAGTTATTTCACCTTTTTTTGTTAAGTACATAACTCCACATGTGTTCATTCATAGTTTTGATGCCTTCAGTGAGAATCTACAATGTAAATAGTCATGAAAATAAAGAAAACGCATTGAATGAGAAGGTGTGTCCAAACTTTTGGCCTGTACTGTACATACAACTATTCTTTCCTTTTTTCTATAGAGTTTAAGAGTTTGAACAAGGTTAGGCTGGACATTCAGGGTGACAGCGTCATCACATGATATATTAAACATGCCAAGTTAGCCCTCTGAGCTAATACGTGCTAACTAATGACGGATTAGAAATGTGAAATATTCTGGCAGACACAAGTTATCAAACAAAAGTTATAGACCTTATCGTATTAAGATGCTCTGAGCTGTGAATTCACCACTTCTGAGCAGCAAACAGAAGATAAAGTTATCTCAGAGCCTGACCAGGCAAAGCCTCTCTTCCTCCGGGCAGCTGCCTTTGTCTCACTCAGACTCATCCTGGGTCTGGGTCTGCAGGTGCCTGTGCCAGAGAGCTCACTCTGCAGCTAAATCTGGGGACCAAAATATTCTCAGAAGTATGCTACCTGACAAAACAAACAAACAAACAAAAAAAAAACATGCAAACAAACATACAAACAAACGAACAAACAAAAAAGTCTGCTAAACTTGAAGAACCTCAGTTAACTGAAAGGTCTCCAACTGATGATTCAGATCTTGGACTTATGGGGCAGCCCTATTTTTGGTATAGTTTTTTGTTGTTGTTTAATATGTATGGACCCCTATGACTTCAATTCATCAAAATTTTTCTCTATTCTTGGATTCTTTGGTCACTGTGGAGGCATGTGGGAAAAACAAAGTTTTCTTCTCAAATTCAGCGTGAGTAACTGATATCCAAATATTCTTTTGGGGGGTGAAGTATTCCTTTAAATGCAGTATATAAAGTATATGAAATGTTCCCAAGACAAGTAGAGGTCTAGCCATAGATGTTTTTTGGCCCAAGCCACTAATACAAGCTGCTAATACCATATTTTAACATAAAATTCTAACATTTAAAAAGAGGAATTTAAAAAACAGGCTGTGTTTTTGTGTCCACTTACGTCTGAACTAGTCAGGAAGATCTCCACAACTTTATTTTTGCTGAGTATGCTGTGTGTGGCAATCTGCTGGAGGAAGGTTTCCAGTGCTTTACAGTATGGCTGCCACTCTCCTAAACCAAGCAGACCTGCAGGAAAACCATCAACACTTATTATCACACTCTACATGTAAAGTAGAAACTGAAAAGGAGGATATATTTGGTTAAATTGACTTTTGAATCTTAATTTTGTTGTCTCAGATGTACTTACCAAGCTGTTTCATAACCTTGGCAGATGCATTCACCTGAGCCTTTGCAGGAAGAGGAGGGAACTTAAAGAAAAACAGAGAGTATTACTGCTTATATTGTCTGTCAAAACCAAAAACAAAACTTTTTTCTTCATTAGGCACTTTGCCTGGCATGGGAAAATAAATAAGGTTAATACTTTTTGAAATACACACTGCCGGAATTCACACTATGCACATACATTGTGTCCTGGATCGAATATTGCACGGCATCTGCTTGTATAATTCATGACAAACACAACCCTGTTGCACACACACACACACACACAGACACACACAGACACACACAGACACACACACACACACACAGACACACACACACACACACACACACACACACACAGGAAGTAGTGTAGAAAAATACTTCCTGATAGGATATTGTTGCATGTTCTTGAAAGACAAAATAACATCACATCAGACAAAGCTTCTGCCTAATTTTCCACAGTACTGCAACCAGCAGCAGAATGGCAGCACTAAAATCAGATTCCTGATTACAAAAGAAAGGAAGGACTATTCAAAGAATGGAAGGGAGGAAGCATTTTAAAAGAAACAAAATGTTCCCCATAACTTGGTTGGCCCCATAACATTTTATAACCAGAAGTTAAAGGGTAACTTTGGTATTTATATCAGCTTTGACACTATTTTTCACTGACAGGCTCAAAGTACTCTTTCAAATGCCTGACAACATTATAAAAAGGATCCCTACAGAGATAGACCTTTCTGTAATCCTTTTTGTTAAATCAGAAATAGCCCCGAAATTACTATCTCCAGCCCCACCAGACTCCAGACATTTTAGTGTGTATAGAGCTGGAATTTTATCTTCACATCTAACATCTTTCAACCGTACCAGATGTGGTGATTGTTGGACCAGTGGAAACACAAACCAAGACGGCTTATATGAGTTTTGATTCCGTCAACGTTGAATGAAGTGTGTTTTACAATGAAAGAAGTACTGTTATTTAAGTGGAGTCTGGTGAGTATGGAGATTGCAATCTTGGGGACTTTATCTGGTTAAACAAAAAGGATCTTACTCTTTAACAAAATGGTCTATCTCTGTAAGGATCATTTCCATTCTGGTATCACACTTGGAATAGCAATCTGAGCCTGTCAGTGGCAAAAACAAACACTTTAAATGGACATTAATTGATGGTGCATAATTGCCTTAAGTGGTTACACTGCAGCCTGTGTCGCTGCTGCCTGCTGCAGCCCTGTTGCTAAATACTGGACCAATTTCAAAAACTGTGGTTCCCATTAGCCACTTAGACACAATTAAAGTTATTACAAGAACACAGAACTTGAAGTCTGTAGTTTAGCTCAAATTCTGAGCACCTTCAATTCAGCCACTGGTGAAGCTACAGTAGGCAGTTATAAAAAAAAAAAGACAACATAAAGCAGCATGCACACTTTGAAAGGAAGTTTTCAAAAGTTCCACAGAATTTTGGTTTGTCCCTTTGGTGACTCATCATACAGATATTCCAGTTCTAACTTTGTTTTTGTCAGAACAGTGTGCATAGGTTTACAAGTCAAATAACAGATTGTGCACAGATAAAGTTAAGTACTCACTATGACTCCCTGTATCCCGGGCACATCCTCCTGGGAGAACAGGTGCTGCTGCAGCCATTCAAAATCATCATAGGTCCGATACACATGGTACTCCCCTGTCCCAGACAGCTGGCACAGACAAGAGAGGCAACATGTCATCTGAGCAGCCTGCTGTTGCAATATCATAATTCGAACATATCATCTGACCTATCCTGGTGGTTTTCACATTAATTTAGATCCAATGTTTGCTTGCATCAAATAACAAGCAAATGAATTGTCTTCTCACCTTCTGTGACACAACCAAGAATGTAAGTGTGTCCCCGTCTTTCAACACCTCTGCAAGCTTGATGTTTTGACCATGGACGCTCAGAGTAGATGTCACTTCATTTACTTCTTCCTGTAATAACAAATTGCAGCAAGCAATTTATCAATACAACAGCTGGGAGTAAAGCACATTAGAATGCAAGCTAAATTTACAGGAATAAAAACCTTGCATAGGCCTCACTGTATATGTGGATGTGTGTGTGCGGAGTAAAAGACTGTCACATGACACACAGAGGTTGTTAAACAGAGCATTTTAAGGCACACTTACCATCATTGTCAAGTTTGTAGGTGAATGATTTCAGTCCAACTTTTATCCGCTTTTTTGAGCGCTTAAATCTCTGTTTATCTCGATAAAAGTGCACAAAGCTGTAAAGATCTTTTGTCTTGTGTTGGCTATAGTGCGCTCGCGCTCCAACTGCTGAGAAGGCACAGGATATCCTCTGGGTCAAAGTGCACACTGGTCCTGTGAGAAATGAAGTAAAGCAGTACCAGATCTAAAGTGCTGGCGTAGTAAAAAAGATGAGTTAATGGTGTGTTAGTCAGTAACTCAGAACCTTGGACACACCCACACAGGAAGGGTGGCATAACGGTCCAATCAGTTTCCCCAGCTGTCAATGGTACAACCTCACAAACCTGTAAACAACCATTAAACTTACAAGTTGTCCCATAAAAGAGGCAGAACTGAACTGAATCTCTACACAGTGAATACAAGACACAGATGCTGCGATACCAATCTTAATATGGAGACTTTATTATCAATAAAAGACAATAAATTAAAACAGTCATACAGGAGACAGGACAAAGATACTGGAATCTAGTAGTAGAGGTCTTCTTCATTTTCATCCCCATCCCCAAAATAAAAGCTGAAACCAGGCTCTTCAAAACTGTAATGTTCATATGGACCATCTTCCTCATCCTGATCAAAGCTCCAGTGGAAGTATTGATCCTCCATAAAGGGACTATCGTCGAAATCATGGAAGAGGTCCTCAAAACCGAAGGGGAACCTTGTCTCGTGTTCGTCATCAGGGTCAACAGAGTCGTCATTTTTTAGGAAAGCCTTGTGGCCCACACTGTCATACAGCCTCCTCTTCTCCTTGTTGGAGAGCACTGTGTAGGCTGGAAAGGATGAAACAGAGGTATTACTTTAGCTTTGGCTGAGCTACAAGAATGAAAGAGCACTCAGATGGAAGTTCATTAGGTACAATGACAGTTCTCAGGAAAGGCAAGGGGGCTGCTGTGCCCTCATAATATCAAGACTGGACCCCCCTCAGCTGTGGCGAATATTTTCAGACTTTTTTTTTTTACGTCACATTTATCCCCAAACAGGGAAATTTTTCATGGGGTGTGAAATAAAATGCATGTTTACAGTAAGTGATTATTTTTGTGTTTAGTGGTATATATGTATAGTTAGTTTCTTGGAGAACCAGTCCGTTGAGATGGTAGTAGTACTTAGAGTTGTGCTTCATATGTTTGGTATCCCTACAATTACATGTGGCCCCAGTCTGGTCCCTGTATTTGAAATGGTTTAGGACCACCACTGGTAAGGGGCACCTAGCTAAAACTAATATGGTCTGACAGCACAGTCCTGCAATAACTTCATAAAGGTTGTAATACTTTAGAGAGGTGTCGTGATGGTGACGTAGCCACTGATGTTTCTGGTCGCCTCTCTGTCAGCTCTGCTAAACTGGGGCTAAATTTATGCTCTTATGTCTATTTTCCAGGTGTTGGTGGTGCTTGTTATGGTCGGCTCAGATGTAAGTGGTGTGTGGCTGCAGATCACTCATCAGGATGTGGAAATCAACTCACCAGCCTGTAAATTCTCCCTCTGCCGACTTATAGCTAGCTGCTAGCTAGCCAGGTTGAGGTTTTCAAATGTAAACATCGCAGACAAGATGGAGAAGATGGCAGCAGCTGAACTTACATCCTGCTAGCTATGGAACAGGCCTCGGATAATAAACCGGACGACCTCTGTGCTGCATCAGTTTCCAACAGGGTATCAGGAGCTGTAATATCCTTTGATTCACCAAACCTTGGCTAACTCTTGGACAGCACCATTCAACCAGGAGGCCCTTTTTTATTTGCCAATTCTGACAGAGGAGAGGACTCTGGCAAGGAGAGGAGACGTGTGCTCTGCAGTGAATAAGGACTGGTGTGATGGTGGGAGTGTGAGGTGCTGTCCTGTTCCTGCTGTGAATCACTGCTATACGGCGTTCAAAGGCAGCTGCAGAGCAGAGTCGCTGCCTGTGTGCGAGGGGAGAAACCATGCAGCCGTCTTGTTGGGGTTGGGATGTGTGGACAGTTAAATCATTTCACAACCAGAAACCATGGATTACCCGAATCATCCGGAAACATGGAACATTATAAGGCAGCAGCCAAAAATGTAAGAAGACACACACAAAAAAAGAATAAATTACGGTGCACAAATTAAAGGATCTGATGGGATCACATTTCACTAGAGTTCCTTGTATAATTCCATGTCATGACATAAGAACTATTTACTAATTGATTGATTTAACTTTAGAGGCTGTAGTTAGTAATGCTGTTAAAATTGTGCAGTGTGCATTGTATTGTGTTTTTCATGTTTTCTACCCCATTTAAGTCAATAAGGAAAAGCAGTAATTATAATATGTATTGGTGGGACACCCCCAAATATTAAAATATGCTAAATACGATAAGAAAAATATAATTTCTTTTTACTATTTTATGACACATCACCATGCACCATGGTCCTTGGACACATCATGTGTATAAATGCTTCGGTCAGAAAAAACAACATAACCATCTCATTTAAAATTTGGCCAAAAATAAATTATTTGCATGAACTAACCAGCGTGAAAAAGTGAGGCTTTTCTCAACTCCAGGAATTCATCTTCAACTTTTAACTTTCAAACATCAAAGCATAAGTTTTAAAAATCTAACAACTAATTTATGGTGGAAGTCATGCATTTTCTGCCAGTCACTCAGAGAGGTTCAAGGAAAAATATTTGTAGTTTTGGGGAGGGTAAAAAAAAAAAAAAAGTCACCCCCCCCCCAGCCACCCTCCTCTGATAAGTAATGAACAGTCCCTAGAGAATAAAGTGTCGCAGGCATGTTTTACCTTCAGCAATCTCTCTGAAAGTCTTCTCTGCATCGGCGCTCTTGTTCTTATCTGGGTGGTATTTCACGGCCAGTTTGCGGAAAGCCTTCTTTATCTGGCTGTCAGTTGCTGTTGGCTCAACTTTGAGGGTATCGTAGTAATTTCTGCTCGACTCCGAGGCAGCATGCAGAGCTTCAGATAAGCAGAGCAGCAGCACTACGCAGGCTTGCATCCAGTGGAAAACACCTTGCACTGCCATGCTGGGTGTCTGAGCTCAGATGAGGAACTTAAACACAACTGTTGCACCAAGAAGTTATCTGGAAGTACAGTTATCTGGCGGTTTGACAGCTCATCTAAACATGTAATCTTTTGTAAGGCTGTCTAGTCACCACGTCCGCGGAAGTAGCCTGTGTGCCACTCTGTCAAACCCATAATGCACACAGGATAGTTTTCTTAATCAGGTGACAGGTTCGAGACTCAAGATGATACGCCTACACGCACAAACCATAACAGTGTGTCAAATTAAATGTCATTTCTTCCACCTCTTTTTCACTTAGCTTACCGTCTTATAACGATAGGACTACCTCTGCTATGAAACATTTAACCCGTGTATTAATTAACTCCCGGAAATAAATGAAAACAAACAATAAACGTCCTTTATTGCAATTCGGCGTCGTCGCCGCGAGAGGGCAGAAAAAATACTCAGAGGAAACGAAGAGGAAGAGAGTCGTCTTATTCGTTGGTGTTGAAAGATGCAGCAAGAAATGTGGTAAACAGCACCGGGGCCTCGAGGAATTGCTAAGAATAACACACGCCAGGTCGCTATTGTTTGCAGAGATAGTTAGCTGTGTAAATTTCAGTGAATCTGAGCAGGACGTTTCTGCGCGGGAGTCCCTCAATTATTCTCTGGATCCTGCTTCTTGTTTCTATTTGGTAAGACAACATTAGCATTTAGCCAGTTAGCTAGATAACGCTCGAGCACGGCAGCAGGCTCCTAGCACCATTTTAGCCTTGTTTATTCAGGTATATGACACAATAGAGAGTGCTTTATTTACCGACAGCAACCATGTGTGTTCAATTTAGATGTAAATGTTTTTCGTTATTTCATTAAAGCACTGGCTCCTGCTCACCATCCAGTGATAACAACAACAGTACTACTCATTATTTACCAGCTTTGTCACGTGCTAATATTTCAGCCTTGACATATGCATTTGAACCATACATTCCCATCCGGGATCTTTCTTATCTATATTTTCCTGTACTGTTAAAGATAGTCTTTTAAGTTGGTCCTATGTTTTTGTAAATTTCAGTACTTCACGGAAAAAGCTATTCATGACTTGTTTACCTGTGTATGTGAATGTTTGACAGGTCACGTCCGCCCCCCCCTCACACACATGAGTGCTGTTTTCTCCTTGAGCTGGGCCAAGCGCCATGCCTGACCGGGACAGCTCCTACCTGTCTGGTGGCGGTGGGAGTGGAGGTAGTCTGGGTGAGGAAGGAGGACCTGGGTCTGGTTTGGCAGGGGGCTCGGCGGAGGGCAGAGGCGGCTCAGGAGGAAGTCTTGGAGGCAACGTCTCTGGCTCTGGGAACATGGGGAGAGGAGGGGCACTCGGAAATGGCAACAGTTGCGGGAACGGTGGAAGTGGGGGCCAAGGTGCAGGACTGGCATTAGATGGTGTCTGCAGGGACTTCATACGCAATGTCTGCAAGAGAGGCAAGCGCTGCCGCTTCAGACACCCAGACTTTAATGAGGTGCCAGACTTGGGAGTGCAAAAGAATGAATTCATCTTCTGTCATGACCACCAGAACAAGGAGTGCATGCGCTCCAACTGCCGCTTTGTCCATGGATCTAAAGAGGACGAGGACTATTACAAGAAAACAGGAGAGCTCCCCCTCAGACTAAGAGGGAAAGTTGCAGCACGGCTGGGCCTGTCCCCCATGGATCTCCCCCATAGCCGTGGGGAAGTCCCCATCTGCAGAGACTTCCTGAAGGGAGAGTGCCAGAGGGGCAATAAATGTAAATTTCGCCATGTCAAGAAAGACTATGAATACGAGCCTTCCAGGGTTGGAGTGGGTGGTGTTATAGGGCCAGGTGCCAGCGGAATAGTGAATGCTGGGGGAGGGATAGGTGTTGGAGGGGGAGGTACCTGTGGGGGAATGCAAGGACTTGTGGGAGGTGGAAGTGGAAGTAATATGATGGGGATGGGTTGCCCCAGCCTGGGTGGTTGCAGAGATCCAGGTATCACAGGAGTCGGGGGTGTAGGTGGAGGTGGAATGAGCACTTGTCTGTCCATAAGTTCCACAGGGCAACGACGTTATGACAGGAGCTCATGCTCAGTGTATGACCCTTTGCTAGAAAGTGGGCTGTTAGATGCGAGCTCCCTGGAGGCCTCTATGGACCACACAGCTCTACAGATTAAGAGGCGGCGGTTGGAGGGGCTGCGCCTGGCAGATGCGAGCGGAGGTGCACACTACGAGCTGGGAGTTCAAGCCACCTTGCCACCACGTCCTTTGGAGTACAGGTTCCTGGAGGAAGAGAACTCCTTACTGAGGAAGAGAGTAGAAGAGTTGAAGAAGCAGGTTAGAATAAGAGATGGTTAAAAAGGGAAATTAAACTAATCAAAATCTTAAGATCTCAGAAATCCTTGCATAAAGTTATAAAGGACTGGTAGACCTTTCTCACATGTATAGCACTTGTATTTCAGTCAGATCTAAACACATATTTGTACACATTATACAGAATGATTTGGTATTTCTTTAAGGAATACTTCAGCCCCAAGAAACTGTTTTTCTCGCATGCCTGTAGTGACTGAAGAATCCAAAAACTAAGAAAATTCTTCATGAATAAAAGTCATAGGGGTACGCGTTTAACAACAGCAAAACTATATCAAAACATCAATTTGCAAACTCTCACACAACTTGTGCTCATTAATCCAGTCGTATGTTCAGTGCATCCCAAATAGATGGTGCTTTCCTGCAGGAAACTGCATGACAGTTCAGTTCCCTGTCAGAAACATCTGTCTGACTGAGAAGTATTGAGCATGTGACTGATAAATGAGACCTGGATTATACTGTATGAGTTGTGTGAGAGTTTGTAAACAGATGTTTTGATATACCGGTAGTTATGCCGTTGTTTCCTTTAATTCCTCAAGAATTTTCGCAGTATTTTGGATTCTTCATTTACCATGGAGTCATGCAAAAAAAAAAAAAAAAAAACAGTTCCCTTGATGACTTTAAAGTAACACAGGGTGAGTAATTGATATAAAAATGGTCATTTGGGGAGTGAAGTATTCCTCTAACAATTAATACGAAACACAATGGTGTGCAAAACAGCAGCTACCTTTGACAGTATAAAGCAGTGTGATAAAATGTCTTGACAAAGTCAAAGTCTTAACAGATAATTACATTTTATAAGCCTAACAAAGGCAGAATAGATATTTAAGCTTTTGTATTGGATTGAATTATATTGTCAAATGTAACTAATTTTGTACACTTCCTGTGCTGAATGAATTAATATGTTTCTTTCACATGATAGTGTTATATGAAAGGACCAAATTTTATTATATAGCATTACATAACTTAAGTCACAAGGATGTCAGTTAAATTTTATTATATGTCACTACCAAATTGCAGGCGAAGTCAATTTTCTTCGAGGGCTGTCCAATGGAGACTTTATCAAAGCAAATCATTGTCATCCAAAACAAGAGTTCTCATCTGAAGTTACCACAGTATCTGATGACCAGTATATCAAGCAAACAACTTTACTAAATGGAAAAGCCAACTGAACAAACAACTTGTTAGAATCAGAAGTTTGAAGTAGAGCTCAAACACTTAGTTGATCGATAGTTCCACAGTTCACAACCTTAACTGAATAGTTGATTGAAAATAAGCAGTAGTTTGTCACCTCATCATGAATATGTCTCTGCTGCTGTGTTTACAAACATTACAAATGTAAATTAATCCTTAACAGCATTTCTGAGTGATAGCAGCTTCTAAACCTGTGTTTTTAGCTTTGGTGGTAGAGCTACTTTTTTGTTGACATTTTGTTCACAGATTGTACTTGTAATGGGAGAGGAGCACTTATTCATTAACAAGTTGCAAAAGTTTAATATGGAACAATCAGTGGTTTTGAGGACTGGAGGAAAGTTGCCTTTGCCGATACAACAAAGTTTAAAGCTGTAGTTGACAATTTTTATAAAAAGTAACTTTATGTCATGTTTGCTGAAACTGAAACTGCTGAAATACTAAATCCACACATAAGCACATAAGACAGATAATCTGTGAAAAAAAATCATGTTCCTCTGCCTCCTAATGGCATTTGTGAGAATCTGGCTCATGTGGACAAAAACAACCAGTCAGAGTGGAGGAGTCTTTAAAGCTCAGTCATGTAAGTCACTGCTCGTGAACTGCGGTCAAACTGTCAAACTAGTCAGTGCTGATCAAATATGACTCAAGATTCTGTTACTGCATTGCCTGTTTCCAGCATGAAATTTCTTCAGAAAGATACACACACTAGCCACCATTTTAGGTACACCTTTCCAGCACCGACCCCCTTTTGCCTTCAGAACTACCTTAATTCTAAGTAGTACAGATGCAACAAGGTGC